GCGTGGAAAAGACCCTGACCAAAGAAATTTTTAAATCTTCTCTATTTGAACGTTTGAGAAAAGCCGTCAACAATGCACATTTTATAGTCACCGGAGAAAACGAATGTGAGAGCTCGAGCTCTACTTCACATCTCCTTGAGGAACAGCAAGACCGATTATCTGATTCAATGGACGACCTTTTTGATCAAACGGCGAAGGATTCAAGTCTTTTTTCTCTGCCTTAAGACAATGTAAGCGTTGATGTGCCTCCAGTGACAAATCACTCTCCAAAAAGCCCGCCAAGCACTGTCGAAATCCCGCCAAAATCTTATCGCTGGAAGAAGCCCAAGACGCTGGATTACTCCAGATATTCTAGCTTCCACTTCAACATCTTCGTGTTTGCTTGAGCAATCTGTATAATCAATGTCACAGATACAGTGTGGTTTCTATATCAGTCATTTTAGCCTCCTTGAAGTGTCAATCATAATCCAAAAATTATTATTTCAGGTTACCTTTGTATTGTTACTTGTTTTTTACTGAATAGGCCAAATTATAGGGCTACCCTCTCCCTCAGAGCTTACAGGCGGGGCGGCCAAGATTCAGAGGTGAAGGTAGCCTTTCTTTTAAAATGTCGGTCATAATACAAATTATTTTTGTAGGTTGTTTTTGTACTGTTATTTGTTTTTGAAATAGGCCAAATTATGGGGCTACCCTCTCCCTCAGAGCTTACAGGCGGCGCGCCCAAGATTCTGAGGTGATGGTAGTCTCTTCTGAAATGTCGGTCATTATCCAAATTATTATTTTAGGTCATCTTTGTTTTGTCATTTGTTTTGAAATAGGCCTGTAATCTCCCTCAGAGCTTACAGGCGGCGCGCCCAAGTTTCTGAGGTGATGGTAATCTGTCTTTTAAAATGTCGGTCATTTATCCAAATTATTCTTGTAGGTTATTTTTGTAGTTTCATTTGTTTGTGAAATAGGCCAAATTAATTATAGGGCTACCCTCTCCCTCAGAGCTTACAGGCGGCGCGCCCAAGATTCTGAGGTGATGGTAGTCTCTCTTTTGAAATGTCGGTCATTTATCCAAATTATTATTGTAGGTTATTTTTGTAGTGTCATTTGTTTCTGAAATAGGCAAATTATGGGGCTTCCCTCTCCCTCAGAGCTTACAGGCGGCGCGCCCAAGATTCTGAGGTGATGGTAGTCTCTCTTTTGAAATATCGATCATTATCCAAATTATTATTTTAGGTCATCTTTGTAGTGTCATTTGTTTTGAAATAGGCCAAAATATGGGGCTACCCTCTCCCTCAGAGCTTACAGGCGGCGCGCCCAAGTTTCTGAGGTGATGGTAGTCTCTCTTTTGAAATTATAATTGTAGGTTATTCTTGTAGTGTCATTTGCTTTTGAAATAGGCCAAATTATGGGGCTTCCCTCTTCCTCAGAGCTTACAGGCGGCGCGCCCAAGATTCTGAGGTGAAGGTTGTCTCTCTTTTAAACTGTCAGTCGTCAACCATAGTATTATTGAATTTTCATTTTCCAGAGTTCATAGTGGTACCTTCTTTATAGTTTTACGTGATTTGTGGCAAAGACAAGACCAGGCTAACAAATTTATTCTACTTTATGCATGGTGCGATAATCACCGTGGCTGACTGGCCTCCAAAGTTCCTTTATAATCTGGACGCTTCTCAGGAGTTCCTTCACTGCTTGTAATCCAGAATTGGCGATTCTCAGCAGCTTGAAGCTCTTGCATTGCATCAGTTGTTCCTTGGACGGCGACCTTTTCTTGTCCCGAGTACAATATCGATTCTCGATTCTCGTCTCTCGATTACCGTATCTTGCTCGTGCAAGGTTTTGGTAACGGGACCAGTACTAAAACCATTGCAGGAAAACTGTTTGGTAGAAGAAGAGTAAAATGGTGGCTTCGGTGCGTTACCTGTCTGATGCTCGGTATATCACTGCCAAACTACGCAACAGAATGCACGAAAACCCCTCCGGTACTTGAAAAAAAAGAAAAAGAACCTGCGCGATGTAATTTAGTAACTTATTCATGGTGTTCAGCTTCCAGTTTATTCAGCTTATTGCCAGTTGTAGGCAAAGTTCACGCGCATATTATCGCATTCTAACTGGGACGATTGTGAGGAAACTGTTATGTCAGTCATTGACTAAAAACCCCCGCGCGTTAAGCCTTTGTGCGACGGACGTCCCTTAGAAATATAAATTGCCCACTCTGATCACCAATTCTACTTGCAAAGTGTTGCTGATTGAGTTGTGTAATGTATTCTAGAGTGTAAATTTAGTACTAATCTCGCAGACAAGGATGCAATGAGACATTTATTTTGCGTAGTTTGGCCTGCTATCCATTGGGCAACCATCCCTTTTATTTTCTTTCGATAGCCTCTCCATGCACTAACCTTTGAGTACAGAAACTACTGTAGCTGCCTCTCGCTGTACCAAAACTTGATAGTTTTGGTGTTCAATATTTTTAACGGGTGCTCACAAAACACCGGGACTGCATCGTGCGCCTTTGGCGCTTAGGTATCCTGCGAGCTTTGCTTCATCGCGTTTTGAAAGATGGAAATTTTTATATTCCCGCGAAAAAGAAGACCGATAAAACGCGTCTTTCATAGACTACAGTGAAACGCCCGGAAATGAAGGATGTTTTGAAAGAAACGGAAAACTGATAAAAGTAAATATTTGTTTTAATAAGTGAAAGTAATGAGAAATAACCATAAACTAGTTTTGTGTTTTTGTTTTTTAAAAGCGGTTTGTCTGGTACCAGATTTGTACAATTACTTTCAATCAAACATGGATCAGGTTTTGTTAATTATGACAGAATGTAATTAAAAAGCATTATGTTGACCGCCACAAGGCACATGCTTGCCTTAAGCTGCGAGTATCCCGCCATGTTTTAAACAAAGGGCCTCTGACCAAGCCGGCTTCTAATCCGCCACAAATATGTAAAGAACGCGTCTTTCAAAGTCGCCTAGTACTTAAAATCGGGGCTCTGGCCTGTTATGATTCTGCATTTGTTTGGCAGCCCTCGGCCATGTGGCAGCGTTCAGCCACGAACAACTTTTTTTTTCCAACCAGAAGAAAAAAAAACTAGTGGCAGCATTCGGCTGGGTAGTTAATGCAATTTTGATTTGATTTCATTTATCTTTGGTTTCATTTTATTTCTATTTTACATTTTACTTTCACTTGCTTTTATTTTAAAAAGAAAAATGAGAAATAAATCAAAATTAAAAAAATATAACAAAACCAATTCCTAGAAGTTTGAATATTTTTAATGGTAGTTCTCGGCCACCATAGACATGTTTAACCTTACAAAAGAAGACAAAGAATTCAATTTCACCCTCCGGAATTAATTTTTATTTTCCCTCAGATCATTTCTGTATAAATATACCCTTGATAACTCGAAACCTACAGAAAAAAATAGTGTACTGGTGTCCGAAACATTGAACTTCCACGTGTTGTAGGTACATGTATAGTTAGCAGAGGCCGATGTTGTTTTTCACAAATCTAACATGAAACAGGTTTACTACTCAAAACAGTAAAATACACGCTCTATTTAGACTACGTTTTCGTCATGTTTCGTTACTTGTTCTTTCAATTTTAATTTAACTGTTTAGTTACAGTTAAATAAGATTAGAATGTTCACTGTACAGTGAAAACTGTTTTTTTACCCTTACTTCCTTCTGTTTTCTTTGAGCTCCCAATATCTCGAACTTTTTGTACTGAGAAACGCAGGGGATTGAAAGTTGGTTTTTTCTACTGGTAGTTTCAATCCTTAAGAGACCTGGGTTACCGCAATCTCAGATTCACTTATGTTTCCCTAGTTCAGTCTAACTGATTTGGAAGGTACAAAATGAGAAAATAATTGCACTGTGACATACTACTAAATTCCCTAAACACCAGGAAAATAAGTGCTGACTCAAATGAACATGAATTTAAACGCTATTAGTTTATCATCAAGCTGATCAATGACCAGCAAGAGTTTTATTTCTTTTGTTATGATCTGTCAGACCCTTTAATGACGACTTGAGACTGACGTGGCACTGATGACATTGGTTCTCCTGGGATTTTTTTTGTCTTTGAAAAGGTAGAGAACAATCAATCGCACGTTGACCTCAGTCTTATTTTCACCCATTCATGATTTGGAAGAAGAATTCAGGCACAACCAACTACTGATTTCGGTAAACTGTTGTTAGGGTGGCACCCAACGAACATTTCCTGTAAAATACATGTTCAGATAGCCGCAAATAGTGCCTTTTCAGAACTTCCTATATAGCTTGATGACCAATCCATTCATGTACATTATTCGAAGCTTATCTAATAAATTCCCTACTATTTTCTAACGTGTAGTTGTTCTTAATTCCGTCCACGGGTTAAACTAATTTTCGTAGAAAAAGAAAACCTAACATTGTGGGATTAGGAAATAAAATGGAGAGAGCATTAGAAAATGTTTTACTATCGTAATACTTTAAATTGCATCTTAACATTTCAGGAAAGTGATACTGAAGCCGTTAATTATACTTTCAAAATGACTCAAGTTGCCTTAGGATGACCAAACAGGTACAAATGTTATGGCGCCGCTTAGAGCGCATTTCTACCAGCCGTCCCCTTGATAGCCTAGAAAGTGTTTTCAATGCATTTGGGAGGAAACCTTCCGTCAGTGTGTGCCCCATGGTAGCCTTTCGATCAGAAAACAGAATTTTGCACGCCCGCGTACCAGCTATCTCAATACGTATACAGCTAAATCAAAAATAGTTTGCTTTGGTAAGTTGGGCATTGGTAATTGGACATTGAGCATTTCGGCATATGGAACAGTGCAATGATTTACTTCAGGTAACCACCAAACATTGAATCCGCAATATTATACATCATACCGTAAAAAAGTACATAATAAGTAAGGCAAGGTTCGTTCAGTTTTTTAAAAAATTGGGGGGTTGGGGGGGGGCTGGGGTATTTTTCATCCATTTTCTGGTAAACATGTGACCCTACCCCATTCCTGACCTTCCACTACATGTGCACTGGTTCACCACAATCGGCAACTACGACCCTTCTCTGACAGTGACAAGCTTCCAGATTCCTGTTATCTATCACTATCAGCGAGAGCAACATTTATCGAAATTTCAATTTCAATTTTGTACTTGATTGGAAGAAGCCAGGGAAAGTGGCTTATGTAAAGGCACTTCACAACAACAGGTTCTTATCAGGCTAGGAGAAAGAGACTCCCCTTCGTGAAAAAAGTTCATCTTCATGTTCAAAAAGTAATGAAGAGGAAAGGATTGTAGGCTCTGAAACAATCGGTGATCGTCAACACCATCAAAAGAATTGAGCGATATAAGTCACAGCCCTGTGACTGCATACAGCTGTCACATCACTGAACGTCAAGTTACAGCCCAAAAAGAACACGGGTCTTCTGAGACATTTACATGCCGTGCCAGAACAAGGTGAAAAAAGAAAGACAGAAAGAGTAAATTAATCTGATGAATGAACTGTAACGAAACTGCTGTTTGAAAGGAATCTTGAGTAATTACAAGTTTCCGTTCGATAAGAAGGACTGGCACGAAGCTTTAAAATTCAAGAAAATGATATCAATGTGGTAACTGCATGAACACATGTACACAAACCACTATGAAAAAAAGGCTTCACTCTCCCTTAATACCGTTTTTAAATTAGGGTCCATTTTTTTTTTTTGGCTTACTCTCCCCTCTGAAGCCCAGTCCTCTCTCCCAATTAAAAACTTACCTTCCCTAACTGGATACAGTAACCTAGATAAGGTTGGAGTTTGTAGCACAAGAATAGGAATATGTGACCTCTCACGCGAAAACGTACACTAACGGCTTCCTGTTTTCGAACGGAAATCCGTTCACAAGCCGTTTCTCATCCGTTCAGAAAAAATTTGCATCTGTTCGAACGGCTTGGGCGATCCGTTTAAAAAGGAAGTCAAGCCGTTCGAACGGCTGTGTCATCCGTTCACAAAAATTGCCCAACCATTTGAACGGCTAGTGTACCCGTTCGGAAAAATTTGCAACCGTTCGAGTGGTTTGGTCATCCGTTCACAAAAATCATCCATCCGTTCGAACGGCTTGTGCCATCCGTTCAGAAAAATTGTCTATCCGTTCAAACGGCTGTAGCACCCGTTCAGAAAAATTTGAATCCGTTCGAACGACTTTGTCATCCGTTCAGAAAAATTATCCACCCGTTCAAAACTTCAATCAGTTGGAACCGTTCATTCAAACGCCTTGGATCATAATTAATTTTACGCTGTTCAGATGGCCTTATGCAGTACCTTGTGGCCTGTCGTTTGCGAAACGAAGACACGAAATGGTAGTTTGCGAAATCTTGTTCTAGCCATGCTTCATTGCTTTCTTGCCGTAACGTAACACTGATCTCGAACCGAGCGGGAAATTCAGAACCGACCGAAAAAAGTCTGACAGAGCGACAAAAATTAATACTGTCTTGTGTAAACAACTGTTTCACCGCAGTTGTTGAGTCGAAAACGTGTTCCTCTGATGCCAGGTAAACTACTAAGAAACTATTGGTGGAAGTGGCGATTTTACTCGTTTAATGACCCGCTGCCAGAATCACGGGAAACAGCCTACTAAAGGGTTTTACCAGTAACACTTTCTGATCTTTCTGATCACGAATGAAATTTGAGTCACTTGCAAAACTCGTTGCCTAGCACGTGACCAACATCTACTCAGTCAACTATCTGATGATTTATTTTTCGTGAACCAAAACTCTCGTCATTTTTTAAAAGGACTTAGATTTTTTTGTCAATGCAGACCGACGCCTGTTAGTAAAGTTTTTGAATCAGACCGAATGACACCTGTAAATAAAAATTTGTCCTGTTGTTTCTTTCGTTTCAATGAACACTTTCATAGTAATTTTTATAGAATAATAGTTAATGACGCCGCTAAGAAAAAAATTCACAAGTTCACAGTTGAAGGGCCATTGATATTGTAATTTATGACTTGCGACCTGGTGATGACGCTGATTAACACAGTCGTGGGCTGTTGATATGCTAAGCTTAAAAACAATTACTCCCCATTTATCCAATGAAGACACTGGAATTTGGATCCGCTCGCCTTAGTGTTAGATATAAAAGAGATCTGTTACCAAAAGTTGTCACATTTGTGCTAGCCACCGTCAGTAACAGATCTAATCTTCCAAGTTTTATGTTTTACTCGCGTGATGTCAGTCAGACAATTGGGCAAAGAAACGTGCAAACGTCCTTCGAAAGCATTGTTTCTTTCTCCAAAAGAATGTAAAACTGGGATCGCGCCAACGCGATTGATTGTCGAAAAAGACGTTCATTACATAGAGGGAATGCTGGTTCACGTGAAGTGGGAAGGGAAGAAAGTAGAAGCGGAGATCCTTGCTTTGAACGGTAAGTTTCAATTCTAGTTCTTGAGGTCTACGTTTCGTACTTCTGTTCTGTTCGAGAGACAAGACTAGACAGCATTTGAAAGTAATTATCATCACTCATACTTACCGATTCTACAATTCTAAACACATTTTATAGAAAGTACTGGTCGAAAAAGACTTTGAGTGGTCCAGAAAGAACTTGCCCGATATTGTGGAAGAGTCAGGAGAGCCATCGGAGATCGATGAATGTTCAGAACCGCCAGAGAAAAAAGTGGCATGTAAGAAGGTAATAGTGTATTTTATGTTAAGTTTATTCCTGTATTGTTACTTCAAATCGAATTAGAACAAAATGAGAAAAAACTACATTGAAGCCTAAATTGTGAACTGGAGTGTGTGAGTTATCCAAACAAACGGGAAACTGCCCTTCGTTACAGCAAAGTTCTTTGGCTAACGGCTTGGCTCACAAAAACTCTCTTTACTGCAATGTTAAGTCGCAAAGCCCTTTCGAGGCTTTTAAACCTTTGAGGCTGTTAAAAGTGAAATTATTTGATTTTCCTTGCTTTAGTCCATTGAAGTGCGAAGTACCAGTGAAGACAAACAAAGCCATCATCCATACGATCAGTTTTTGGCTGGCCAAAAGAAGCGGGAGGTGGAATGGAAGTCAAACCGAGAAGCAAAGAAGGCCCAGTCCACAACACCCACAATAACCAGCGCCGTCAATCGTCTTCAAGAAGACCCGGCCGTCACTTTACTTCGGCAGCAGCTTACGGCCAAAACGGAGGAATGCCGTCGCCTGATAGATAAATTGGACGCCATCGAAGAGGTCAATGCAAAAATTATAAGGAGCCAAACGCAGATGCAGGAAAATTTTGTGAAGGTAATACTGTTCTTAAAAGTCGTAGTTATAGTGGCAACCTGCGATCAAGCGCTTATCGCTAACTTACACCATAGTTAGGACATGTCAAAAAAACAGCGTCTGATCGCTCGTTACGTATCATTGCATAACTTTAGGTCTTCTTGTTAATTTTGTAATAGAGTTGTGCTCTTTAATTTGTAACGTTCTAAAAGCTGCTCGTGCACAAAATAACGGCTGATGAACGCGGTATCGTCACTTTATTATAAAAAAAAACCCTCAGCTGATCCGGCTTAAAAGTCCTCTTTTAACATTTTCTTAGTATTTCTCATCTAGCCTCATCGCGCCTCATCGCGCCCTTATCTACAGTGACATCTAGTTACCGACCAAAAGGCACAAAACTATAAAACAATCACACCGATCAGGTGAAAGATGAGCTCTGGAAGCTAACTGCTTTGTTTTACTCTTACAGATGCTGGAGAAAGTGCAGGCCTCTATATCAGGTATTGAAGACAAGCTGATGGCGAATACACAGGCCTCCATTTCTGGAATGGCCACTGAAGTTTCGCAACTTGAAGCGCGGCTCAGCTTTTTGGAGGGACAAGCATTAAATCAGTATACATGCATGGTAAGAAGTTAATGCTATATCCATTTATAGATCCCGTAAAGATGCTTAGTTTTTGTTTTACCCTTGAATAGGGTGTCATTGTTCGGGTTTGGTCCTTAAATAGGGTATCAATTCTCGTTTGTCTAAATAGGGTCAGAGCCGTTTAAGAACCTGGGCGGCACACACCTATCCGAAATTTATGGGAGTACCCCCATGGGCCGGGATACTTCGATTGCAATGTTATACAGAAGCACCAGTGAATGATAGAAACCGAGAGCGAGCCGTCTAGTTGTTTTACCGTAACCTTGTAGCTAATTAAACATAACCTATCAACAACACTATCAATGTCACTATCAATGATCAAAATAAACGAGTGATTTTAATTTTTTTCCTCGTGCTGTTAGCTGAAAGAAATAGAAAACATATTTTCCGTGTTTCTATAAACAAACGAAATGACACGGGTGTTTTTCTCTTTTATTCAGCAACTCGATTCCACTGTAAACTCCGCATGTGTCAACGAGACTCCCGTGATGGACGAAATTGAGTGCTCAGTAGACCTGAACCAAGACCCTGACCTGACAACAATAAACACAGACACCCTGAGTAGACCTCGCTCCGAGGAGGACCAATCAGCCGAGACCAATCCAGACTGGGAAGGCACGTCAGCAAGTACTCCACAGGAGGTCGGCGAGGAGTTCATCGGTACATGTGTTACGCCATCAAAAATAAGAGCAGTCCAGGAGACTCTCACGAAAGAAAGGGAACGGCACTTGTGTGCACTTAAGTTACTACCATCTTTCTTCAGTAAGGAAGAACTAGCAACAAGTAACACAGATGGCACCCATGAGAAACACTGCCTTGACAGCAACAAACTGAAATCACTTAAAGTATTGGTATTTAGTAAGTTTCCCGTAAACACAATGGAAGAAAAAATAGAGCATGGAGATGCATTAAAGGAAAAATAAATTCAAAGTGCCGTGCCGCCCGCAAGCATTTAGCCAAAGAAGTTACTCCAGTTCGTTCATTGTAACTTTTATGTAAACTAGAAACTGTAGACTCCGAAAAAATGCTTTTTTAAAAATCCTTTTGTATGTCTACCTGTTTATTTATTAAAATAGTTGTTTGTTCAAAACTGAGTATAGTAATTTGATGGCGATATTATCTCTCCATGTAAACTGTCATGTCAGTGTCTCCGGCGAAGAGGTTTATCCTTTGTTCTCACGTTTTTTTGTTGCGCTACTCACTTATCTTCTAGACTCTTGTCATTGAAAGACTATGATTTTCTCATACCTCATTATTAATTTTCGTAAGAGAAAAGATGCAAAACTGAACGCTTAATATTTTAATGCGATTCAAGCTGTAAAACAACTTATTGATGGTTTTCACGGTGACGTCATCAGATTACAAAGTCAAAAAAGCGAGGTTTTACGAATTCTTTTTTACACTAGGTTGAAGATTAATAGGAAATAAATCTTTGCACAAGTTTCCAGCCCCAAAGCATGTTTCATTTCGAAAATACAGCAGTTTGAACTTCCGAGTTTTCACAGTGCGTGACACCAAAATAAGAATGCTATCTCCTTGAAAAAAGTCTCTCCGCTTGATTTTCAGCAGTTTAACCATTTCAAGTATTAGAAGATATGTTTATGCGCAAGTATGCTAGTTCTCAAGTGAAAAGGAGGAGCTTTTATAGAAAAAGTGAACTCCAGATGTTTTGTTGATTTCCGGCGGCCATATTGGTGGACAGTTTCTGTCCACCAATATGGCGTCTCCATACAAAGCTCTACAAAGGTGCGTGAAATGTTTCGGCAACTAACTCAGAAACTGTGGGCCACAAAGACCTGAGATTTGGACAAATTGTTTATATATTAGCCTTTTATAACATTTCATTTTCTTGGCTTCTTCCACTGGACGGTTTCAAATGTATTTTTTTGTGCCGTGTTTATTGCGTGACAGTGAAAACGAAGAATTGACTGAGAAGTTGTTTACACGTGCTTTCGGTTGATGTCTGGGACTCGGGGACACGTCTATGTATCCCTTGGGGTTTGCCAGCGGTAACTTTCAATAGTCACCAACAATAATGTACTTGTTAGGTTAAATTATTTTGAAATTATTTGAAGTTATTTTGTCAGTGAAATTATTTTGAAATGCGCTAATCAAAACTTAATATTCTTTGCTCGCCCCACCAAAACATCAACAGCTTGCGCTTGTGATTTTTGAGTTTATGTATGCGATTTGTTTATGACGTAGCCTGCTCGCAGGCTATTTATGACGTAGCAGTTCTGGCCACCGGAATATGCAAATTCGGACAGTTATTTTCATGCTGCTCGCAAACATGACTTTGTAATGCTAGTTTACTACTCGATTTAATTTTATCTATAAACTGAATCGCTGGTGAAACATCTGGTGAAACATGTCTTTGAAACCAATATAAGGATGTAAGGCATGGACCGAGAAACGACACTTCATTTTAAACTGTCTATTGGGAAAAGAGATGCAATAACCCAAACCGGTAATTTTTTTAGAATTTTCTTTCTTCTTTTTTTTTTTCTCAGCGACAAAATGTTAACAGCTCGCGCTTGTAATTTGTTTTTCAGCGCCACGTATTTGCGATTACTTGGACAGTTTTTTTTATGTCGCTTGCAAACGTTGTTTTGTAATCGCTACTGATTCAGTTTTTTCATTTGTAGCTCGATTTAATTTGATTAGAATCGATGGTAAAACATTTGTTTGGATGCAGTATTAAAAGGCCTGAACCGAGAAACAGCAATGCTATTTGTCAGCGAAAAAAAGATCTTAGCGGAGCGATAAATAGACGCCGTTTTGAATTTCTTAAAGCCCCGTCAAATGGTCATGATTATTATTATTCACTATCATCAGATTTCACCAACTATCATGCAGTTTGGACGTGTTGAAATTCGACATGATAGTTCATAATAATAGATAGAGCGAGAAGGCTCTTCGCTGGAGTAAGAAAAAGAGGGGCTGCTACTAGTCTACGAAAAGCGAAAATAGAAATAAAGCTTTTAGCGCGCGTTTTGATCGAGGTTCGAGTATATTATTTGGGTAATTGAGCATATTATTGGGTAAACGTTGTAAACTCAGTGTTGGTCATGACTTTTATTGCATGTGGTGGCTCCTAAAGGAGCCGTTTTTGTGCTACCTGCTGAGTGCAATGTCGAACGCTCGACCTGCAGGATTTTTCCCTGTGAGGTGCAAAGCAGGGCGGGAGTTCTTAAAAGAACTGTTTTGTTTTCAAGGCGCCGGGGCAACCAGATCTTCCATTCCAGGCTTGCAAAACTGACGGATCTCTCGGTACAGATACTGCTTTCGTTCTTGGGATAATCCTTGGGGATTGACCTTGGGTGGAAGCACGGCAGGTGGCAGAATGGCGGAGTTCTTCAGGAGTTGCAGAGATTGTTCAGGAGATGAACTGTACATTTTAAAATAAAGTTTCCCAGGTTCGTCTTTAGAAAATCTGAAATGGTGGAACTTTTTGATGTTTGGAACCTTGACGAAGTACTGTTCCAAGAACGCTGACCAATTATAAACCGGCACAATGACTCTCCCATCGTGTGTCACAACAAGCTGGGCTTTGTTTACTCCAACAGTGCTGGACGACTCAACCATCTGGGTAAGTTCGTACAGAGAAGAAGCGTAACTAACTTTGTATGATCTCTTGATGATTCCAAAGCAATGATCGGGACCAAACTTTGTGTGACCAGCAATTAGAAAAGAATAACAGATTGAGTCATGAAGTTGATGTACTGTTCTCCATGCCAGGTACCAAAGGAAGAAATTGTTCTTATTCTGTCCGGAACAGTTGTCAGCATGAAGTTTAACATGAGTTTCGCCAAGACCATGGTTGTGAAAGTAATGGTGAACAAAGCTTATTGTAGTGTTTGCCCCTTTGCCAACGTCACTTGCTTCGTCAATTAAATAGTTAACTTGGCGAGGGATCGCTTTGCACATGATGCCAAAAATTCCGCATTTCCGTGGCGTTTTAAAGTAGATCGCGCCTGGCTGCATCGGGTTACTGGGGATGTGAACCTGCTGGGCAAAGTCAAATGAGTAGTGGATGGTTGTGTCAAGGGAACGTGCGTTGTGTAGATCATCCAGCTCGATTGCCTCTTCAAATTGCTCAAAGTTGGTTTTGGCCTCCGCACAAGCGTTCCTGTAGAAATCTCTCTCTGTCTGTACACAGTCTAAATGTTCTTGCTGAGCCAAGACGCACTCAGACTTCTCCCGATCTGGAAGGTTCGCAGAACGCACGAGTTTCGATGTGTTTTGCTGGCAAGTAAGGCACAAGTCTGTCATAGGCTTGGCGACGACAACATTAGGATGAAACTGTTCCCATAATTTTAAAAATGTGGTGTAGCAAACAGCTTGTTTTCCCGTTTCATCGCATGTTCTTTTAAACGCGCGCCACACGCTCATTTTCGAGTCTGACGACGAGAGCAGACGAATGTCATCTTTTTTGAATCCTGGGATTCTGCCGGGTAGGAGGACAGCATTTTCTTCAACGTAGTTAGTTAGGAAGTTCTTGACGTCCTCGGTTACGGTTTGTGGCAACGTGTTGTGAGGTAGCCTCTTGCAGTTTCCATGTACTCTTTGACAGATTCCGTGTTCTTCATAGTGTTCTTTTAATCTGCGAAACCTTGAGTAGCTTATGCCATAAGTATTTAAGAACATTTCTTTACAGATCGGACTGTTCAGGTAAAGAAAATTGCAGCGCGCACTTCGCTTTCTTCTTTCCCCAATGACATCGATCATCGTGAACGCTTGGATGTTCGCCAATATGACGAGGTTGAGTTCTCCATGTGATAGCTCTAGGCAGTTGTTTAAATTACACAGCACAACTTCTTTCTGAAATTGCTGAGAACAGTGGCCACCTTTCACACCCTGAGAACACCCGCATCCTTCTTCTAGAAACTTCTTAACTTTTTCTACGATTTCTTTGCTGTCAAGTAAGTTATCAGCTAACTCGCATTCCGCCATGGTCTTTCCTTAGAGTTTGATAATTGCGAATACGAGTGGCACGCGAGTTTACAGTGTAGTTGTCACGACAACGCGCCCACACGTCCAAGTGATTGATACGGATTGGCTGTTGTAATCATGTTGCATTAGCTGTCACGGCTGTTTAGAACTCTATACAAATTTTGGCCAGTTTTCGCAGAGCAGCTCAGAGTGCTGCTTGAATGAGCAACAACAATGTATCCTTGCAGTTTCTTTGATTTTAAAAACTGTTTGAAAGTCTAAAAAAGTCAGAGTGGGATAGCATTGTGATAACAAGTGAAGCTGCCAGAAGTAGAAGGAAAAAAAACTTGAATAGCAGTAATAAAAGAGTATTTATTTTAATTTTAGTAAACAATGGACTGGGTGCCATGTTTTCGGTAAACAACCACGACCGTCGGGCAACGCGTTGACGAGTAATCTTTGCATTTGGCGGTATTAAGGCATTTTTCACTGTAAAGGTGAGCATTTAGCGAGGGGTTTGCGTAGTGAAAGTAATAAACATTAATCTTTGGTCTGTTCCGTTCGCAGCCAGTCATTAACAATCCGTTTGAAACAATATATAAATAATTATTCCTAAAACATGAGCCGTTCTACAGTTAATGGTTATCCGTTAGTTCCATTCGCAGCCAGTCCTGACAATCCCTTCTCCCGTGCATGATCATCCGTTCGAAATTTTACTCGAGCCGTTCAGCTGTTCAGGTCTACCGTTCGAAATTTTTTTTATCCGTTCAGCCGTGATTACCATCCGGTCGAAGTTTTTGACGAGCCGTTCAGCCATTCAGGACCATCCGTTTGAAATTTTACTCCTGCCGTTCAGCTGTTCAGGTCTACCGTTCGAAAATTTTTTTAGCCGTTCAGATGTGATTACCATCCGTTCAAAATTTTTCGCTAGCCATTCAGCCGTCATACCAATCCGTTCGGAATAAACTATCAGCCGTTCGGTTTCATCCGTTTCAAACGGCTTCGTGGGCCATTTCTTACCCGTTCGACAGCCGTGCGTTTCACCCATTTAACGGAAAGCCGTTAGTGTACGTTTTTGCGTGAGAGGTCACATATCATCAGTATCTATAAAATAAACAGAACATTACAAGTCCACTTGGGGATACAAAGTCTTATGTTCTCGTGAGAGATACCTTCAGCACTCGACAATAAAATTTGTATCCTCGCGTGGCCATGTAATATCCTCTATTTGTACAAAGGACTCTGAAGAGATAGTTTTTTCTCTAGGCTGTGGCCCTGGTTCCCCTGAATCCATGGCTATCTGTTAAAATCCTTTACAGGTAATGTGGTTGTTCTCTTTAAATACGGAAACAAAAGCACATTGTATTTTAATACCAGTCTCCTGGAAATGGGATGGGCCTGGCAGTATGTTCGCTCATGGGGCCTCTCCTGCTCCCAGGACCCTTAAGCTCATATACGAATGTTAAATGATAAGAAAATCTTTTTTCTCCTTGGATTGTAAATATTTATAAATATCAAAGAACGTTTATAGAACACTCATTCACATACACTAAATGAAGCGTTTTATTTTACTAAACCGATACTAGGATAAACTGGACATTGGCTATAAAATACAGTGTCCATTGACAAAATAAAAGAAAGCGGGGGCAGGGGGTATTATCAATAACATATATCGGATAAGACACCTATGTTCCTTCTTCTAATGCTTGTGCATGAGTGATCACTAAACCAAATTGCAGAAAGTCGCAATTGTATTGCTTTCAGTTCCATGATTCCACCAAAAAAAACATCGACCATTTGCGTTCTACATTATAATATATTATATTTTAACCAAGTATTCTGTGTAGAAAAAACTTGAAACAAATGATGACAATTAGTCTGGACTCTTTTGTAGGACATATTCAAATTTAAGACAAAGTAGGTACACTCATACGGAAGAAGTTTTGCCAAGTTTGCCAAGTATATCAGTTTACGATAGCGCAAACGTTTCTAAATAATTTGCACTTCTAGTTAATAGTTTAATAAGATTTTAACGATTTGATTTTGTTTAGCTCCAGCTGTTTTCTTCCTTTTGTTGGTTGGGTTTTCTTTTTTGCATAAAGTTACAAGATAATTGTGATAATTTTCAATATTGCCAGAAGGGGGAGATCTTCCATTAAGTAAAAATAGATCATTATAATTGGATCTTTGTTGGCATTATTTGAATTTCGATCAAATATTTATTTTAATAAATTGACAAGCTGTTAATCGGAAAACCAGTGCTTGCGTTCTTTTAGTAATAAATATGGACAGAGGTGGAATTACAAATTTTCTTATATCAGGCATGAAAATGTTTGACCAATATTAACTCTTGGCATGACTCATAGCGCTGATAACCGGATTGAGACTTAAGTGAATTCATTTAATTTTGACATGAGTAAAATCTAGGCGTTGAAATTAACGTATTTTAACATAGCAATATTAGTTATTTTAAAACTTATGAAGACTTTGAAGTCAGTTAAGTAATCTATTAAGACTTGAAGATTGCTTAATTAACATTGTAAATGGTAATCTATTAAGACTTTGAAGTTAACTTATTAAACACTGAAAACGTTAATCTATTAAGACTTTGAAGTTAACTTATTAAACATTGTAAATGGTAATCTATTAAGACTTTGAAGTTAACTTTTTAAATGGTAATATATTAAGACTTTGAAGTTAACTTATTAAATATTGCGAACCTTGATTGACAAGTTAACTATATTGACTTTACGTCGCAAAATTATATTTGATTGACAACTTAAGAAGTAGATAAATTTTACGTCGCAAAAGTTATGACGTAAAACCTGTTTGATTGACAACTTGACGAATGGATTAATTACAATGTACCTTGCTTTTATGCCATAAATATCCACGACGTAACATGTAGCTAAAATTTATTTTAAGTCGTAACGCGAACCTCCTCGTTTACGTCGTAATTTCAAGTAGATGTTATGATTACGACGTAACATGTCAGGCTAAATATAATCACGTCGTAAATGTGACGTGATATATTTGAAGACTTTTAATAACGACGACCTTCAAAGTACACTGAAGGATAATCGATTTATCGCCGTAAAATAGACGTTGTTATATTTTACGACATAACAATGCGAGTACAAGGTTTCTGTCGTAAATTTTACGACGTGATACCTGACTGGGGAATTTGATCCCCTGGACGTGAAAAAGGTGTCAGACAGTCAAAAATGTGCCCAAAGTGTTTTGAATAGAAATGAACGCCGTATTGATCGGCTTGTTGTTGCTCGTAAGCTTAATCCAAATTACTTTCAAAACCAGAAAAGTCTAAAAAGTCAGTGTTTTTTCCATATTGGAAGTTCTTTGGAAAAATAGTCTTGCATATTTGTTACTACCTCCTCGTACCATTTGTCCTTGCTTTCAGAAACGTCATCTGTTCCTTTTGCAGTAGATAAATCTTTTACCATTTCGTAGCACAAGGTACTGTCTGTTAATTCATTAACTGTCTCCTCGTCATGACAAAAAACCATATCATTGCCACTTTGATTATCGTCGTCTTGTTCGTGTTGAAAACCTATACAGCACAAATTGTCTGTCAGTGCCACACCACTGTCTTCTGCCTCAATGTTGGATGGGGTATTCTGTAGAGAACAAGAGCAAATGGAATGTTGTTGTTGTTGTGTTGTGTGTTGTTGTATTCTTTAGCTATTGACTCTACTGGT